AACCTACAACGAGCACACTGCAGCAAACCCCTCTTACGGCGGAATCGCAGGCGTCCTGTGGTCAAGCTGCTGAATCACTAAGGTGTGTGAACGGGAGGGCTCGTCACGGATGAGGTCACAGGTGAAAGGATGGGTCATTTTATTAATGCAAAATTATTATTCGTTCATTTACTAATAGTTTGATTGGGCAGACCTTCACAAAGGGGCCATCCATCTTAATCCGCTTATCCCGGGATCGGGTCGCTGGGGACAAAGGGGCCTGATAAAAGGGCACTTTGGGCATCAAAGGGCAAGTGTCCAAGCACCCATGGCACCCCCCTCTGCATGTGTATGATTAGTCGGGTAACCTGCCAGTGACCTGTGGCAGGTGCTGTCCTAGTTTTCCTCATTGAACGTCCAAAACCCTTTTCCTGTGGCCGTGGATTATCCTGAGTGACAGGGACACTGGGAAGGAATAGTGTGATTAAATATTCAACATTTTAATTGTTCTAAATCAGTTTAACAGGAGCTCCAGTTTTAATTTCTGAGAACACAGGGACATTGTGGGAAGGAATACTTCACTGCATGTATGTGTGTATATATATGTATGTATATATATATATATCCCCAGGCTGTAAAATTAGATTTATGACAGGCTTGTTCCAGTGCTTGAGCCTTTTATTCTCGTACAAAGTATCATTTTACAGATTATACTGTATGAAAGAATGTTCTAAAAGAAAGTTCATAACACATTCAGTCTGCTCTTCTTAAAGGAATCATCAGATCGTCAGACGGTCTTCGAAAGTCAGTCATCCCAGCACTTTTGATCTGCAGGTACCAAAAAAGGGAGAAAATGAATGTTGCACAAACTGGAAACTAAAGCAGTTTGATTCCATCGACTTAACTTGAAGGATTCAGTTTGGTGAAGCAACACTATGGTCACTGATATTACATGCAAGTCACTGTCAAACCAATATAATATCAGTGTGGCAAATTCTGTTATTCTAACCACCTACAGATTTCATATAAACAAAGATGATCTGATTCACACCCAGCGATGGATTGGCGACCTGTCCAGTGTGTAACCCGCTTTTCACCCGACCCTGTACGCAGGATAAGCGGTTGACGATGGATGGATGGATGGATGGATCTGATTCACAAAGACATTTCTTACTAGGGACACAGTATGTTATATATCTGAGCTGTAAGTTGGAATTTTAATTGTAAATTAGCTTTCATCACTTGGAATAATTCACATCACTTCTACACAAACCACTATGTTGTTTTACCTCCATGATTGATTTGCAAACAGTTCTGCCTGCCGCCCAGATTATTAGGCTCTCCAGCACACCAGTTCAAGTAGTTAAAAGGTGTACCATCAATCCAGAACCACTGGTTCTCCTGGAAGACAGAAGAGAATTGGATATTAAGTGAACTTAAAAGCATTTATTATCAGTTTTATTTAAGGCTCCTCCTAAATGTGGAGATGGTGTCTGCCTCCCGAATCCAAACTGGGACCTGACTGGGACCTGACTGAGGAATTTGATGGCTGAAGGATCTAGCTCCCATTTTACTTTTGGAACCACAAGTAACCCTGTGTTGGAACCAGTATGTATATAAGTTATCTTATATTTATTCTCGCTCATGCAATCTGAAAATAGATAGATAGATATAGATATATATATCTCAAGACGTGTACTAATGCAATTGTGTAAGTCTGTCTGTAGAAATGTACTGACAGGAAGTCTACAGCGGATGGTGTGACTGAAGGAAATGACACACGGAACAGCAAACTGAAATAACTGGAACCGAGTCCTGGCCCTGAGGAGCGACTGAGCTTAACGTACATAGTTCCTGGAACAGTACTGTACAATAATGTATGTCACGTTGAATGTTGCTGCTCTAAGGGGAAAGGGGGTGCAGCTCTTTATTGATGCTAAATAATTGAATATAGGTTATTATTTATTGTATTAACTTAATGTTGTTTCTAGAGCAGCAACATGATTTACAACAGCAAAGCCACTAATATCACTGGAAACAAATCTAAAATGTCAGTAAAATAAATCATATTCCTGACATCAACATACTGAGTGATGAACAGCTCAGTCCCTCCTGTCCTCCTCCTCCCTCTGCTGCTGCTAGTAGTGTGTAGAGGGAGGCGCTCTGCACACAGAGGAGGGAGAGGCTGCAGGTCGGACAGCGCATGTGAAACTCAACAAAGATTAGAAGGAAACGACATAGCTCACTCTTTAGCTACTTTCATACACTATAGGCCTACATGTAGTTTACTTCTGTTCCGGATGTGGCCCGCGGGCCGCCAGTTTAATAGGCCTGTTGTAGAGTTGAAGTGCAGAGGGGGGCCAGGGATTCCAAGGTATGTGTTACAGGGGTACTGTCCCCTGTTGGCTCCCCCACAAAACCACCACAGTGTATATGTCATTGCCTCTAGTATATTTTCCTTTCATAACTATTCATCACAATTAACCACTATAACATCTAACATTGGTGTGGTCCTTGTTAGTTAAATGGAGTTATGTAGACTGAGGTTCAGGACCACGCCTCTCTCACTTATTCGACCACCTGCGCCTTATTCTATTCCTCCAATCAACCACCCAGTGCGTCACTCATTTCATCCACCTGTGCCTCTCGAATCCAATCACATGCACTCACGTATATAAGCTGTCAGTTCTCACATCCCTCCCACCCAAACCCTGTTTTTACAGCTCTGCTGCCTCACAGCATTGTTTCTGGGTTTAGACATTGCTCAGCAGGCCTTTCTGCGCAGAGTTTGCATGTTCTCCCCGTGGTTGCGTGGGGTTCCCTCGGGCACTCTGGTTTCCTCCCACCATGAAAGACATGCACGCTAAAATCCATAATTCTGCAAAGTAATCACTTTGTCTTTTTCTGCAACAGGAACCACAGGGGGGTTCATAAGACCAAGCCGCTTATCGAGACGAGCCCCCACCATGACTCTCAACATCTCCATTCATAACTATTCGTAAATATTCATCACAATAAACCACTATAAAATCTAACATTGGCATGGTCCTTGTTAGTGAAGTAGCAGCAAGTGAAGAAGAAGGTTTTTCATATTGCAGATTCATCCTTGAAGGCTTTCTTGTGCTTGTATTTTAGACTGAACAATAGAAAAAGTTTGGAGAGCCTCTAAACCCAGTCACTCAGTTCCACTGTGTGTTTTACATTACTGCCTCTGTTTTATTAATGTGATATTAATTTTAAAACACTACAAATTCCAGGTTCAACCTAACTGTACACTGTTGTTCTGTTAGTTTTTCACTGACAAATTGCCTTTTTTTAAGATACTGTCCTCTACTGCAGGGCATGTTGTGTTTAGTTTCCTCATTTCATCAGGACTTCACATTTTATATACAAATGGCAGGTCTCTCAAATGGCTCTCTTTGTTTCTGGAGCATTTAATCTTCCAACGCTGTTTCCTAGAAATGTTTATATAGTAGTAATTTTCCCGATTATGTTGAGGTAGGGAATGATATTGGCTGCTAATTGATCACTAAGTCGCCCTTAGTTACAGTTGCTACACTGGCTTTCTGTTCTTGCACAGCTCATATGCAGTTAACAGTGATAAATTATTCTTCTGATGCAAATTATTATATAAATGAAATTTGTAGGAAACAGTGGCACCTCCTTAGCTCACGATGTCCATCCAGGGAGCCACTGGACCATGTGGATGACCGGGGAGTGCACACTGACAATAAACTGGACTGGGCCAAGAACACTTAAGCCCTCTACAGGAAGGGCCGGAGCTGTCTCTATTTTCTGAGGAGCTCTTCAACTGCTGGTTGCACATGTAGATGCAGCAGCTGGTAGCTCATTCAAACTTCACTAAACGTTTGTTTTTAATCTGTTCTCTCCGGCTTTATTGTCAAAACAATACCTATGACACGGCAGGTCACTGATCACTCAGAGGAGAGGAAAGAGAGCCGGGATAGATGTGTTGGCCCAGCTTTGATTTAAGGCTGCTCCTAAAGGTTTGGTCTGGACAAATGGGACTCATGTTGGCCAAACAACTCAGAGACTGGGGTGCCCTCATCTTTATTTTCTATTTCATTATATTATCTATATTTACTTAATGTTATGTTTAGTAAAGTGAGCAACTGTAACGCAACAGTTTCCCTCAGGGATCAAAGTATTTATGATTTCTAGCTATTAGTATAAATGCTTTTGAATTACATCGATTACATCATTTACATGTTAGCAGACAAAATAAAGGCACATTACTGAGTATACCATGTGTGATGTCTCTGTGTATGGTTGTTCAGTTCTGTTTTTTAAGAGATGCCAAGATAAGTAGCTGCATATAAGGGCTGGTGTTTCTCTTCATCATTGTCTCTGCACTATACAGCAGAATCTACAGAAGCTGAGAAGGAAGAAGGTAATTCTGCAGCTACAAGCTTCGCGCTTCCTTTTCCTGGACTGACAGTCAGCATGGGTCGTCTGTTCACTACATATTAGTAACATCTCTCTCTCTCTGTCGCAGGTTTTCATCATCTCTGGCTTCATCTCCACCATGAAGATGTTGACTGTGTCTGCACTTGTTTGTGCCATGATGGTTCTGACTAGAGCTGCTGGTCAGCTTTATAAATACAAAGTGTTACAGATGAATGTTTTGTATGACAACAATCCAGATCAATAACTGCTGTGTATAACTTTCTAGCTCTTCCAGAGGCAGCACCTGAAAATGGCCAGCCAGGTCAGTTGTGTTATATTTTATTACGTTATTTTAATTTACGTTTACTTATATTATGCCGTTATGGAATTTAAATCGCAATTGTGTTTTACTGTGTAAAGTAATTTTATGTTGTATCATGACATGAATATTTTATGTTATGTTACAGTGTCATGTCATGAAAATAAGTTGATTTCATATCTACATATAGAGACTTTAACTGGAGACTCCACATTACTCACCAAACTCTATTTGTTCTCAGCAAAGAGTCACCTGGTCAAGAGTTCGACAGCTTGTTCTGGTCGCTGGTCTGAGTTCAGCGGTCGCTGTTTCCACTACGTTCCAAAAGCCATGACTTGGGCCAAGCTGAGGTAAAGAGGGAGACTTTTTAGTCACTGTTTTAGTACAGAAGGCTTCTACAATATGTTTATTTTGTTTGCACATACATAGACATTTGGTTAATTTGCAATTTCTCTCTCTCTCTCGTATTTATCTCCACTGTAGAAAAACTGTGAGTCCATGGGTGGAAACCTTGCGTCCGTTCACAACCTGCTGGAGTACCATGAGATTCAGAGGCTGATCATGAGCGCAAGTTATGATTACACAGTAACGTGGATTGGAGGCTCGGATGCACAAGAGGTATATTTATCTTTACAAGATGTCTTCTGGTTATTAGTGTTATTAATTAATTTAATATTTTGCTGTTTCTTCTAGGAGGGTGTGTGGTTGTGGAGTGATGGTACACCCTTCAACTATCGGTCTTATGGAAGGTTTAATAACTTTCAGGGCAAGCAGCACTGTCTACAGATAAATTATGGAGGTAAATCACAGCGTACTGATTTCATTTAGAGCATTATGTATGAGTAGCATATAATACACACATATCTATACTTTTTTGGAAGGTTTTCTCTTATTAAACAAAAACCTTTGCTGTTAAAATGCTATGTATGTATGGCATAGTGCTGTGTTGTGTGCACAGAACAATCCCACACGTGGTCCATTAGTAGTTGACCATATTACATGAACTTCCTCAGTAGTTAGAGTTTGATGAAGTGTCATGGAATTGTAGGTTTTTCAAATTTCCATTGTCCTGCGTATTTTAAGATCTTAAACACAACACCGATGAAACGTCATTAACGGTAAAGAAATTTGAATATCACCATTTTGAGAGGAAAACCGTGTGAAAGCTCCAGAGCAGCTGCTAATGGGTCGAATGAATGAACTTTCAGTCTTAAATATTCTTTCTTTCTGAATGTCAGTATACATACTTTCACATGTTGGTTTTTGTAGTGTCGCCTTAACTGCTGTGTCGTTGGTACTTTCAGATGATAAGCGCTGGGATGACACCTGGTGTAACATTCACCGCCCATCAGTTTGTGCCAAAAAGCCCTGATAATTCTCAGGTGGAGAACCTCCCAGAAGCCCAAACATGGGTGGATGAGTGTTTATGTGTATGTGGGATGCATCTGTCTTTGTGCCATCAGTCTCAAATCTCCATATATTTCTGTTTAAATCACATTTTTATATATCGCTGTGACGCAACTTAAGGAAAGAAACAACAAGTGACAGAAACAGTTGCTGGATCGTTTCTGAGGCCATGTGGCTTTAATAACAGCAGATTGAATCTGTTGTTTAGAACAACATTATTCTGCACAGTGAACTGTTCTTTCTTGTCTTTGAAAAAATAAAAGTCTCAAGCATTGAAATAAGCTGTGTCATATCTCCTGTTTTTATTTCCCACATCTCGATCAAATGTGGGCATCTTTGAATGGTTTTGTATCAACTAAAAAAATCAACAAAAAAACTTTTGTTTACTGCAATCTGCTGTTTTGTCCACATCAGCTGTTGCAGCTCGGCTCACATTTATGACAGCTGAAGCATCTCACTGCATATACAAGTGAAACTAAGAGTGTGGGAATGTGAAAACTTATTTAGTGACAAAATACACAGAATTGATACAAGCCGACTATCATTAGCAAAGAGCAGGGTGAAAACAGTCATGTGGCAGCTTCAGCTTTTTTTGCAGCTTAAAAAAAAATGTGATACGACAATTTCTGCCTGCTGAGTCATCAGTTATTATAAATTACCTGAAGTATGTTTAGATTCATCAATGTTTTGTTAGATTTGGCAGAAGTAGCATTTCCTTAATAAGATTAGTCTGAAATCTCTCAACATTTCTGATGTTTCCTCATAATTTAGGAAAGAAGAACAGTTTGAGACCAGGATCAATTGGCAGTCTTGAAAAAAAAGACTATAAATCAGGAGGGGTTTATTCTGATATAATCCATTTGCAATAGTGTTACAAAGTGACTAAATACTTTCATTAAAAATGCGATCCCCTCGAAAAACGTTTTAAAACATTAAAACAATTCTCAGCTTTGAGAAATAATTTGTATCTGATTTGGTTTCCCCAGAAACAGAAACATTCAATTACCTGGTTAAAGAGTTTAAAGTTCAACCACAAACAATATGAGTGCATTAGCTTCCTTATATTTTACTTATCTGTTGAGAACCTATTTTAACAACAGTCGGAAGCAGCGAATTAAGCAAAATATAAAAATAAAAAATATTCTCAGGTATGGAGATGTCTGCTGTCCCCCTCTTCTTCCTATGCATCCCTTCATATTTCTGCCATCACTGGTTCACTGCTGAACATTTATTAGAACTCTGCCCCCTGCTGTAAGGAAGCTCAACTACCATCAAGCTTCATTTTCTGGAGAACATGTAGAATTAATTCAGCAAAAGTCAAAAACAGAAAAGAAGGATCACAGAAATGTTGTGTATAATCACTGTTAAAAGATAAACAAAACACAATTTCATGACACAAAACAGCCTGAAATTAGATTTTTCTTTTGATCTCCCCGTTTTATTTTTTTTTAAATGTAATGAAGGTGAGGCACTTTTTGTGACATTTATTGGTTATACATTTACAAGTTTAAAACGCAACTAGGATTTCTATTTACACGCTTGGATTCACACTTCAACTATGATTACAGTTTAATGCATCTGCAGACATGAACATAAAATATATCTTTATAACCAGGAGATGGTGCCACTGACCGAGTTCACTGTCACACTGTGCTGATGTTTATGAATAGGCCTATTATTATATTAAACAAAGTTTGAAAGTCACCTGTTCTGCAGCTGCATGTTTTTACACAAGTCTTCTTTAACATCAATAGAAGAGAAATAAAAAGGGTTTGATAATATTTAACTCCTGTGTTTTATTAAAAGTGATTAAATTTCCTCATTGTTTGGTGATTTTCATTCTTATGTTAGTTTTGTTCACCCCACCTTGCTTTAATGTGTATTTTCTTATCTGTTTTGTAGTGTTTTATCTGGATCCTGAGTGTGGGATCAATACAGTCTCTTATCTTAAAAGTGTTTTTGTATTAACCTAAACTTGTCATATCGCTTCATTTCTATTTTCAGAACTCCAGGATGCTTCATGTAAAGCTCAGTCAGTCCCTTTACTTTGGTGCCTTCACTGTCCTGGATTTCCACACTCATCCTCCTCGCCACGATACACTCATGTAGAGGTAAATTACACACATCCCTAACAGTCTAGTTTATGTTTACATGTAAAGTTATTCTGCTGATTTTGTACTAAACAAGTGTATTCTGCAGAAATAAACACCATAATGCTTTTCAGCTCAGTCTAATGTGATTGGTCCATCCAAGCCAATACTGGCAATGGTTGGTGAGGACATCACTTTGCCATGTTACCTGGAACCCTGTCATGGATGCTTTCAGCATGACTCTGGAGTGGGCGAGACCTGACCTGGTCCCCAGATTTGTCCTTGTGTGGCGTGACGGTGTGGAGCTAGACAGTAAAAAACATGGATCCTACGAGGGAAGAACGTCACTGTTTAGTGATGAACTGAAGAACAGAAACATTTCACTGAAACTCTCCAAAGTTAAAATATCTGATGCAGGAAGATACATTACATTTAGCCAACACTTTTATCCAAAAGCAACTTAAATTGTTATAACTGTCAGAAGTCGCATGTCTCCAGAGCAACTAAGGGTTAAGTGTCTTACTGATGGATACATTGGTGGATGTGTCACAGTGGGGAGTTGAACCCGGGTCTCACACGAAAGGCATGTGTCTTATACACTGCTCCATTGCGACCCCAATGATACAAAGAAGCAGATGCTTCATCCCAGCACTGAGAACAGACTCAGCTGTTCTGCTTGTTGTAGGTATGTTGGTGTATTTTGTCTTTAGTTTTGAAAGTAATGTTAAGGACAAGTCTGATTCACATAGTCATACTGGGAACTGACTGGTACAATTTCAGTCCTCAGCTGGTTTTCCCCAAGAGCTGCTTGATGGTACTTAGAGAAGAAGCCAAGAGCATTAAATGTACTCAGTTTTTTTGCAGATCCATGCAGTTTTATCAGACCTCCCAGTTTCAAGCAAGTACTTGTGTATTTGTTCCCTTGTATCCCAAATGTACAGTTATATTAACTTCATTAAAGATTCAGCAGGTATTTCTGTTAGTCCAGAGTGAGGACCTTAACGTCATACTCTCAGGGTGTTCCTAATCCAGATTTTGTTATATAGCTCTTTCGTTATCTCCCTCTTGCTTCTCTTTGGCCTCAGATTCTCCACTGAGAGATCTGTCCACTGAACCTTCATACTACAAACCGACACCCTGAGGTGCTATTTCAGAAAATTCAGAGCTCGTTAAGTTCATCAAGGGAAGAATATTGAGCATCATGACAATTATTCCAGTAGTTGTTGAGATATTTTTAGGGCTGCTCACTAAATGTTGATTTTTATCATGTTCAGCCTCAATTGGCCCTTGTCAATTGAGTTGACTTGAAAAATTCTGGTTTGAGTAAATCCCTTTACATTTCACTGAAATCCAAAAGTGTCATCTTGCTGGTGGTGCTTACTAGAAGATATCAGGAATAACCTAGGTCATAAAGATTCATCCTCTGGGGTGCATGTACTGTATGTCTGTACGACTTTTTGTACCAATCCATCTTGGAAATGTTGAGATATTTATCTGGAGAACTCACAACATTGATTTAAGTTGATTAATTATATTTAATTTAATTAATTATAAGTTGATTTCATATCTACATATAGAGACTTTAACTGGAGACTCCACATTACTCACCAAACTCTACTTGTTCTCAGCAAAGAGTCACCTGGTCAAGAGTTCGACAGCTTGTTCTGGACGCTGGTCTGAGTTCAGCGGTCGCTGTTTCCACTATGTTCCAAAAGCCATGACTTGGGCCCAAGCTGAGGTAAAGAGGGAGACTTTTTAGTGACTGTTTTAGTACAGAAGGCTTCTACAATATGTTTATTTTGTTTGCACATACATAGACATTTGGTTAATTTGCAATTTCTCTCTCTCTCTCGTATTTATCTCCACTGTAGAAAAACTGTGAGTCCATGGGTGGAAACCTTGCGTCCGTTCACAACCTGCTGGAGTACCATGAGATTCAGAGGCTGATCATGAGCGCAAGTTATGATTACACAGTAACGTGGATTGGAGGCTCGGATGCACAAGAGGTATATTTATCTTTACAAGATGTCTTCTGGTTATTAGTGTTATTAATTAATTTAATATTTTGTTGTGTCTTCTAGCAGGGTGTGTGGTTGTGGAGTGATGGTTCACCCTTCAACTATCGGTCTTATGGAAGGTTTAATAACTTTCAGGGCAAGCAGCACTGTCTACAGATAAATTATGGAGGTAAATCACAGCGTACTGATTTCATTTAGAGCATTATGAGTAGCATATAATACACACATATCTATACTTTTTTTGAAGGTTTTCTCTTATTAAACAAAAACCTTTGCTGTTAAAATGCTATGTATGTATGGCATAGTGCTGTGTTGTGTGCACAGAACAATCCCACCACGTGGTCCATTAGTAGTTGACCATATTACATGATCTTCCTCAGTGGTTAGAGTTTGATGAAGTGTCATGGAATTGTAGGTTTTTCAAATTTCCATTGTCCTGCGTATTTTAAGATCTTAAACACAACACCGATGAAACGTCATTAACGGTAAAGAAATTTGAATATCACCATTTTGAGAGGAAAACCGTGTGAAAGCTCCAGACCAGCTGCTAATGGGTCGAATGAATGAACTTTCAGTCTTAAATATTCTTTCTTTGTGAATGTCAGTATTGGAACATCTTGGAAATGTTGAGATATTTATCTGGAGAACTCACAACATTGACCTGCTAGTGGCTCATGAACAAAATTTGAGAGGATCACTAGTAAGGATTCATCCTTTAGGGACCATGGCTATCAGAATCAATCTAATAATAGCGATATCTTATAGCCACAACATCTACATGGCTTATAAATGATTTCAAGAGAGGACCCAAACGCAGAGCTCTGAGCGAAGGACATTTATTTAGGTAAAAAGAGGGTTGAGGAACTGGATGGAGAGGTGGATGCCGGGAAACACTTGCACAGGGAAACCGACGGGACTGGGACCAGGGAGCTGGGGAACACTGGGATCGAGGAAAGGAGGACGCAGGGGGGAACTGGGAGGATGCCGTGGGGGAAGCCCATAGAGGAGAGGACCAGAGGATGAGCCCAGCCGGCAGAACGGATGATGAGTGAGTGAACCTGGGAGGGAAAACAGACAAAGAGACAGGGTTAGTGACGGCAGCAACAAAGTACAGGGAAAATGAGAGAAAACAAAAAACATGAATTGTGTGGAGAACCGGGGTTGAAATACAGG